CACCCGCCGCCCGCCGCCCCGGCCGCCTCAGAAAGGCAGGGCGGCCCGGGGGCGCCGGGGCCGCTCCCGGGCGCCGCTCCCACCCCCCTCCCCCGGCGGAGCCCCCCAGCCTGCAGCACTCACCCTCAACGGCCGGCCCGGCAGCGGCGTAGTGCAACGCCCGCCTCCCCTCTTCCGCCATTGGGGGGGCCGCCACCCTGCGGCTCGCCGAGTGGCCACCGCGCACGTCAATCAGGAAAGGGTGAAGGGGAGCGGCCCCGCCTCTTATCCGGCCCCGCGGCCTGCTGGGAGCTGTAGTTCCGCGCGCCGCCGGGGCTGCCCGCCACCTGCTGCCACCTCACGGTGGGGCGACCGGGCCCCAGGGCCTCTCCGTGGCCTCCAGGGCCTCTGCCCTATGGAAAGTTTTCCTCGGTCCCGTGGTTAGTTCGGCTCCAACGGACCTTGAAAGGGTGTTTGCTGTTTTCTGCAGTGTTGCTGCACTGGGGGAGCGTGTGTGAGCTTTGGGGGTGCCCGCTCCCCCCCATACACACGGTGCCAGCCTTCTGGGAGCGTTTCCAACGCACTGAGCAAAATCCACCACAGCCGTCAACTTGGGAGCTCATTGCCTGTTGGTCCATCCAGATCCCCTGCGTATCTCGTCACAAACACTTGCAGAGAAGTAGCAGAGCCGGCACCTCGCCCTCGGAGAGGGTTTTCCTTAGCTGCTTTGCCTTAACCCAAGGGTCCTCTGGCCTCTCCCGGATCTCTCTGCCCCCAGGCCAGCTGCTTGCTTCTTTGCAGGTAAATCCATAGCTTTTCCTGGTGTTTTTTTTTGCCTTCTCCTCCTCTGGGTGAACTGCACTTGACATCTGTACGATGTATTTTTTGCTTGCCGTTCCAAGGTATCCACCTTTGTGTCTTTGTTTTCATTTAAATAATAAAATGGCTTTCATTTAGATAATAAAATAGCTGTGCTCTCCATGGCAGGTCCAATTACCTGGCCATGCAGCCACTGAGCATGGGCTTTGCCTCGTTACCAGGGCTGATTTGGAAGAAGGAGCCAAGGGCCACCCAGCAGAGACTCTGTTACAGGAGAGGTGGGTGAGCACCTGGGCCTGAGGCTCATTACGGGGTTGAAACCCTTCCATCTTCCCTTCCTCAATTCATCTGGGCCTCGTTACAGGTGTGATCTGGCCGGTCACACTGCAATAAGAGACCTCAGGAATGTGCAGCTTTCAGCACTTAAAAGGGTTTCTTAATGAGTCTGTCACTGCGATCACACAGGTGCAACCTTTGCTTTTAAAAGTCTGGTTTGTGAGATGATTTAAGAGTCAGCCTTGTTCACTTGTCCCTGTCTTACTGGCTGCCAGTAGTGTAACAAACGTGTAAATGGGTGAATCATGAATTACTCACCCACCTGTGTGTGTCTGGGGAGCGCAGAGGCATTGCCGATGCTCAATTACCTGTGCGTGGATGAGGCAGACTGGGGATGGTCCCTGCCGCAGACACCGAGGCAGCAGTGTGAACTCAGCGGTGCTGTTTCAAAGGTCACCTTCCTCCAGTGGCATTACAGCTGCCTTGGTAATGTAGTGCTAATGAGTCCTACCAGAGCTCAGCTTTCTGTGCACCACCCTGCTGGAACAGCAATATCAGACATGGTGCGCAAGTGACCAGTGGTTCCGGATAGGATCTGCTGCCTCCAGTGTGAAGTTAGCCATGTTTGTCAAAAGGAATGTGGTATTTTTAATGTTATTCTGTGTATTCTGTTGCAAGACCCGCCACTGATGAAAAATCAATAAGCTATATTAATATAAAAATGTCAATAGGAATATATTGATATTTTTCCTGAGAGACTCACATTCTTTTAAGTTCCTCAAAACATTGTTTCTGAAGATGAATTTATGTGTCAGATCCTAAAGTAGCAATAGGGCTATTTGTGACTTCTGAATTTGTGAATTGAATTTGTGACTTGTGAATTCCACAGCTGGATTATTGAGATTGCTCTATTCCTCAGTCCTTTCATTTGAGAGCAAGGAAAATATGGAGAAGGAAATAGTTATGAATCAGCTTGATTGCAATTTAGTAAGAATTTTGAAAACTGGGTGCAGCATCACAGGGGAAGAAGCACACAGTATGATAGGTTTTAGAAATATTTCCATATTACTTACCTAAAAACTCCTGTCTAGCTATTTGCTTAATGATTTTATATATTTTTTTAAATTCTAAAAGTGCAAGATACACCAAAAAGGTGAAGAGGTACTGTTCAGCCATGCAATATCCCAGACTGTGACTGTCAGCCCAGTTAATTGCGGGTTTCTGGAAAACCCAGGAGTTAAAGTGACCACTTGGCTTTGTTGTTCTGGAATATAATGCTCCAGAATGCTCAACAACCACAAAGGCAGATAAAAATCCCTGCCACTGGGGATCTGTCATTTTAAGCCATTACAATCCCTTAACAATCCTAGTTCCCTCTTCTGTGTAGTGCTGCTGTCGTTCCTTGTTTTCACTCTCTCGTTCCTTAACTCTTCCTACTGAGCATGAGCCCTACATTACTTTCATGGACAACCGCAGCATTTACTTTGAAAGAAAAATAAAGCACATTTTTATCAGCTTGTGGAAGTGATCTTCACAGCTAGGTGGCAACAAAAGAATTCCACTAGGCTTCCTTCAGTAAAAAGTGAGAAATGTAATGTGAGAGCATTAAAAGCAGCTGCCTGACTCTAATGTCAGCGACAGTCTCTTTCAATTTAAATATTTGCAATAGCCATAATTAAACACTTAGTAACTGGCATCGAGTTAAAATAGAAATACATTACACAGTCTTACTGCTGTGCAGATTTTAATTCAGATTTATATCCTCCTTGGCTTTGTGCCTAGAATAACTCTTGTGATTTAATGGCAGTTTTACACAGTATAGAAATTGTCATACAGGGAAAATTATCTTTTAGGTGAGCAACAGAATTTTGACTCTTTCTGGAAGCAGCTCCCTAAGGAGATCAAACAATGTTATATTCTTCCACTGTTTAAAGACTGAAGAGATTCACATCTGCAAATAGAGGGGTGGCCTGTCTGGGTCACTGAACCGAGTCTCTGGCTCCCAGAGGCTATCGCATCATCTAAACCTTCTAAGCGTTTTTTCCCTCATCTTCTAAAATGGGTGTTGAAACCAGTGATCCTGTTACACACAGTTACTGTCATGTCAGATGATGGGTTAGGAACTCAGGCTGACCATGCCTTCTGAGAAGATGCATATGTAAACAAATGTTGTGTGGTTTTTTGCCCTCATTTTTATTCTTTTGGAAGATGAGCACAGCAAACCACGGCATAGCATACAATGATAACAGGAATACAGATCTTAACATTCTTACCTAGATATTTGCCATTCTACTGTAGGAACTTTGATGGTAAGGTTTTGGTTTCTTAAAGCTTTTGATTCTAACAGAAAAAAAAGTATCATTATAGCTTAAAACTAAAATTCTATTACAAAAAAATTAACACGTTTTTATTCTAGTATGCCTGTATGACCTGAATTTCTCTAATCACACTGTGAAGGTGAAATTAAGATTAAAATTCAACCTTGTGGTAAACAGGCACACTGGGAGATTTCCAGCAGGCCTGAATTTGTTCCAAATGTATTTTATTGTACTTCAGAGCGCAGTATACAGACTGTGGCTCCACTTCTTGCTGCCTCATAGGCAGCCATTTTCTGAGCTGTTTCTCTGGCCATGAAGCCACGTTGAAGGTTCTTGAACTGTCGTTCCCGACTCTCTTCCAGTTCTTTCCAGTGGTTCCATTGCAAAGAATCCTGCAAAAGAGACACAGGGGTGGTCAGACTGCAAAGACTACAGTGGTTCTCTTCAGAGGATACACTGAACTTCTACTTGATAATCTGGCTGGCTGGCAACACAGTTTATTTGCTAACATGATTGGGAAACTTGTCAACATTAAACTGAGCGCGATGAACAGAAAGGTAACTTGAGTTGCCCAGTTTAATTAAACACAGCTGCAACACTACAAAATGTTAAATCAAGATAAAACTACATCTGGAGGGTTTGCTCCAATGCTGCTACCTTATGTTCTTTCTCTGCCAGCAGTTTATTCACGAAGGCATAAATGAACAGTTGCACAAATCCTGTCAGACTGCAGTGGTTTGCTGATTCAAACGCTGGGTTCACAAGGAGCGTTCCCCAAAAAGTTTTGAAAAAACCCAGAAAACTGCTACTTTCAAATCTGATTCTTTGCTTAAAATGGTAAAAAAAAATAGATTTTTTTTTTCATTAATGGTAGTTTTTCTTAGGGTTAGTTTTCCAAATTGCAATATAAAGTCTGTTTTATTAATAATATAATAGTTATTTATACGCAAATGCTACCTTGACTTATATGAACACAAATCCATTGGGCCTAAAGGGGCATCACAAATGTAACTGAAGCCACAGTCTGGACTTTGAACTTTAACCCAAGGGGTTCATGTCAGATTTTTTTCTACTTACTGAGGAACCTAAAAGGTAGCAGTACAAACTGAATGCCAGATACCTATTTTGTTGTATTAAGGGAGGAATTTTCTCCTATAGCCACACTAACACCATTTCGAGCAATATGCTGTTCAAGTAGACGAAAGATGCTGCTGAACAGCTGACCAGAACTGAGCCACTTCCCTGCAGTAACATTTGGATAGGTCACGCAGAGCTGAACAGCACTGATGGAAGAGAAACCAAAACAGCTAAATAATTTAGAGTAACCTTGATTTTTTTCCATTGTTTTTTTCTTTTCTTTTTTTTTTTTCACAGGTGTTTTAACGTTTGAGCATCACATAAACAAAGCTCTGTGATATCTTAAGATACTTACTGTGTAATGCTAAGCTCAAGAAAAAAGACAAAATCTAACATCAAAACAAATTTCAAACCCTGGCTTTTTTTCTCATTCATATGATACTAGAGCACTCATACAGACCCACATCAGGTGGTCAAAAGTTCCAGCTGTGAATTTATAATTTCTCATTGTTTCTTTTAAAAATATCTCACATTTGTAATTATATGGCTGCTTTCCTTTGAAGTCTGTATTTATTGCTTCTGCTTTACTCTGGATGCCATTCAGCAAAGTGTTTAAGCATGTGTTCAAAACTTAAGAAAGCCATCCCAATTTAGGAACTGCTTTCTTCAAATAGCTCTTCAATGTTTTCTTTGCCGAAAGGGATAGACC